GAATAAAAAATTGGAAAAGAAGAAGAAGAGAAAGAAATACGAATGGAAAAAGAATGAAAAGAGAGATGAAATAATACAAGAAGAAGTTAAAGAAACAGATGAAGATGAAATAAAAGAATAATAAGCAATTAATTAAGTATTAATAGAACTAACTTCTATTCTTCCTGGCTCAGCGGAGACTAATCCCGTCCCTTCGTCTTCTTCTTCTACTATCTCTACGGAGTATGTTTGATTGTGATTGAAGCAGTATTCCATGACATCCATCATGTTTTTAATTACAAGGTTTTTTACTTCTTTTTCGATGTCAATTTCAATTTTTAATTCTTTAATTAATTTATTACTTGAATTATTTATTAATCCATTTATTGAAATTACTACTGGATTTATTTTGTCAGCTTTTAATTTTTCTATTTTTATTAGCCTATTCTTTAATTCTTTATACATATTTCTTTTCTTCCAATAGGCTCAATTAATATTGTGATATTCCACAATAGTCATATCAAATAATAGACTAGTTTTATTCTTTTTATCTAATACGTATATGTCTGGTCTTTTGTGGTATTGTCCATCACTTTTAGGCATTATTTGTTTGTTCAATATCATTGTGATGTCTTTATATTTGAACACTGTTTCATATGGGGGTTTTTTATATTGTTTATTTCCAGTGTATTTTCTTATTAATCAATATGATAATGCCATTATTGTCATGTTTTTCCATTTGTGATTTATTATGATAAATACAAGATAGTAGAATGTGTTCTACTGTTGCTATCTTGTCTTTACAAAGTGTTGAGTATTTCAATCTTTCATTTTTCATTATTTTTGATTTTCTATACAATCTGAATATTGCTCCATCTTGCATTTTATTTAATTGAAGGAATGTGTTTTTTTTTTTAATATTGATTGACTTACATGCTTTCACTGTAGTAGTTTTATCTACTCCTTTTGACTCAAACCATCTTCTAAAATGTCCACTAATTTGATGACACTTCCATTTTTTGATGTATTTATCATTAATTTTTTATTTCTATGACTACTTCTTTTTCTTTTTTCTTTTCAATCCCTTCATTTATTATTTCTTCTATTTTTGTTTCATTTATTTTATGAATTATTGTTTTTAATTCTATTCCATATTCCTTTCTTACTGTACCATCTATCTATTATGTTATTTCTTATTTCACATTCTCTGGTACAGTAGTACATTACTGTTCTTACTAATTCAATAACATATTCGTCCCTTATATTTATTAATCCTTCACCCATTTCTTCTAGAGGGACATATAACCTATCTTTGGAGTTTCCGGCACCAATGTATTTTGCCTTTCTTAAGTATTTTCTTATCTCCAAATCAATTTTGTCTAGGTCAGTTATTTTCCAATTTATAACTGATGCTGAATATCTGAAGATAGGGATTACTTCCGTGTTTATTCTAGTAATATATCTTCTATGACTGCTATCATCACTGTTTATTTCTTCCATCTTCTGATTCATTTTTTCTTTGATGGTTTTACAATTGAAGGTGTCATCAATTTTGTCAGACTGCCATATTCCTAAGTATTTATACAAGTCATCACCTTCAACTACGGGGATGTTCTGCATTCCATTTGGTATTTCCTTAATTTTTTTTAATACCAATCCTGATTTTTTCTCATTCATTTCCATCCCTATTCCACTTATTATTTCTTTAATTTCATTGTGGATTATTCCCATTTCTTCACTACTTTCCGTCATTATTCTCAAATCATCCATATATAATGTGTGATTTGCTTTTGGGAATTTCTCTTCGATGATTTGAGAAATTACATTCATCTGAATGATGAAGAGTAGATTTGATAATGAATCATTTGTAAAATTCCTCTATTTAATTTAATACATCATAGATATTCATTAAATTTATAGCCGATGAATATCTTCCATCTAGTCATCATACTTTCAATAATGTCAATGATGACACCCTCATATTTAACATATTTTAATGATTCAATTACCCATTCGTGGTTGACAGTGTCATATGCTTTCTTAATGTCATAATATAACTCCACATATTTTGTTTATTTCTCTTCTTTCTGCTGCTTCATCATATAACTATTAATTATTCATTCTTTAGCAGCTAAAGATTGTAACTTACATCCCAATTGATTTCTACTAGTTTTCAATGATTCATTATTCATGTTAAGTCTTCTGTGAATCTTTTCTTTTAATATTGATGTAAATACTTTCATAATTACATTTGTACAACTGATATGATAATAATTAATGACATTATTCATATCACCTCCTTTGTGGATTAATAAAGTTCTTCCACTTACCATGTCTAATGAGATGTTTTCAGGGAAGTTCAACCATTCATTGAAGATATTGAGAATGATTTCTCTTGATGATGACATCCTTTTCCAATAATACCCATATATAGTGTCTATTCCTGGTGTTTTCCAGTTACTTATTCTCATTAAACTGAAATTTAATTCATTTATTGTTATAATGACACTATCATAATTTCTATATCTTTCATTCCATGAGGTGATTTGTTTTATTTCCAATTCTCTTTATTTAATATCACCTGTGTTTCATATAACGATTTCAAATATTCTAAAGTAATATCGTTATTTTTGTATATTTCATTTTTTGTTTCTTCCTTATTCTAATTTTCTTGTTAGAATCAAACATGATTTTATTTGTATTGATTCTGATTATTTCTTCCTTATTAAATTTAATTCTTTCTTTGATCATAGTCATCATATATTTTAGTTATTTTATTCTTTCCAGTGTTTTAACTTTGATTCATTCTTCATCATGTTCTTTTAATTTCATGATGCACTTTATTCTGTACAATTTTCATTGACTAAATCTTCTAGTCTATTTATTTTCTTTAGGATTTCTTTTATTTCATCAAATTTATCTCTTATTATTTTATTTTGGAGATAGAGGTGCATAATCATTGAAATCCTCTTCATATCATCTTGCAGATCCTGCATTCTGCTTCCTGACAATATCCATCTATTATTAATTTCCATTATTAATCGGTCAGTTTCTTTTCTTTTCCAGTAGTAATTAATGTTTGAACATTTTTCTATTTTCATTTCTTTTATTTTATTTTATTGATGAGAGTGTTAAGATATTCTTCATCAATTTCTGTAGATATTCTTTAATATGATGTTTTTTATTATTGAATCACACTCTACTCTTCCTTCTATTATATCATTTACTTTCACTTTAATGTATTGTTTAGTGCTTTCTTTTATTTTATGTGATATTTTAATATATTTAATATATTCTTTTTCATTATTTACATTAATGTTTATCACTTTTATTATACTTTCTATTTGTTCCCATCTTAATTTCTTATATAATTTCTTATTTAACTAATTAATTTCAAAACAATACAACACTTCATTTAAAATTCTATTTCTTTGTTTTGTTGTATTTCTTGTCTGACTATCATCTCTTGTTTTTTTGACAATCAGTGCTTTGCTTTTCTCTTTGATTTCCACTACTGTCTTTTTCATAGGAGTAGTTTCGTTCATCTCCATTGTTCCTGATGATGCTTTCCTCAATACTGGTTGTGTATTTATCACAAGTGTCATCGTTTTCTTCTTCTCCAGTTCCTTCTGTGAGATAAAATTTTCAATATCATCTTGTTGTTTTCATATTATTTGTTTTTGTGTCTCATTTTCTTTTTGTGTGTTGTCTAATTCTTCTCGTGTTCTTTCTGCAATTTCTTGGTTTTTAATTGCAAT